GTAGTACTAGATTACAAAACGTGCCATTATTTACAGTGAAACATAACAGTTATTCAAGTCAGTAAACAAAATGCAATTCTATAAAGATCAGGTTTACAGCTTTGTTACTGACATGTTTTAAAGCACTGTAGAGTAACACACAAATTCTGCCTGGGGACTCAGAAAGGGTACAGCCACCCCTGGGGGCTGGTATGCTGCCACAAGCCCAACCTGAGCCCCTGTGCTTTAGCTGGGATCTGGCGGGAGGCCTGGTGGCTGTGATGCGCCAGATGTGGCACTGGGAGCTGTGGGGATTCTCTACAGCAGTTTAAAAATGTTATCCCCTTAGTCTGCTTTTGTATTTTTTTATTAAATACAATGAAACAAAATCAGCACTTGATGTGGTGGTATCTAAATCTATTCCTGGTAACATAAATCATGACTATCTCTCCAACATTTGCACATATGTAAAGGTTAACAGCAGAAGTTGGAGGAAAAACTGTTGTGACTGTAAGGTCATTGGGATAATTAGCTGTTTAACTGAGAGGACATAATATAATAAAACATAGGGCAAGCAGGGTTAAAAATTAATAGGAGCAGGGGGCGAAAATGCCCTTGAAAGATCTAAAAATGCCTGTGAAATTAAAAATGAATGGGCAAAAAATGCCCCTGATAACTGTTCACATTATGTCATTGAATTATTAAATACTAGCCATTAAATATGATTCCCCTGTGGGTCACTATATGTGCGTCACATATACTTTTTTTTCGCCACATGAAGGTAGCAGAACAAGCTGAAAACACTACAGTAACATATCAACTTATTTAACTCATTTAACTATTACAACTATTAGTAACTCATATAACATTAGCGTTTGTTTATTAGGATGTTTCTGGCCCCATGATAAATATAAATGAAATATTAACTCTCCTTTTAGCTCTGTTTTGGTTTCTACCAACTCCTGAAGGAAATATCTACCACTTTGGCTGCTGCTCTAAATCTCCACTATACTGATTGGTTAAAACATAATGCGTATTTCACACAAAACCATTATGTAAACATTTTTTTATTAGTAGTTCTTCAGAAAAATGTGTTCTGAAAATGACCAAAATGCTTAAGATCATATGATAAAGGCAAAACTGCCCTTGAAAAAACATTACCCTAGGCAGAATATGTAACTTCTACATTTCGTATTGCCCTTTCTGGCTCAGCTCCACACACTGTACAGTGAAGACATGTTGATGTCACTTAAAATAATTGTGTTAATTTGGTCGAATATAAGAAAGTCACTTCCAGATGTGTGAAGCGCAACATTTTCAGTGCAACAGTTCAACTGCCTGTATTTGGTTAATGCTTGTTTAAATTGTGGTATTTGAGTATGCAGTGCATTTACTGCTCTGCATGACCTTCACACTGTACACTCCAATTTCCCTAAGCTTTGTGTATTGCCATAATTATGTTTGTCATTATGTATGTCAAACACATGGAGAACCAAGCATCCAGATACGAATAGTAGCATCTAGTAGCACGCAGAGATGGGCACAAAATAAATAACAAGCTTATTAATGTATTATGTATGTAATTTAAAAGTAATTTGTAATTTGAAAATGTAAAAATACATACACTATACAAACGGATAATATTTTAGGGATTTAGTAGCCTCAATATGGGTCTGGCCTTAACCCCTTCACGCTGAAAAGCTACTTTCCCAATCAGGATATCTTGGAGGTGGGAGGCTGCACATTTAGAAGTGGGTGGTTTCTAGGTAGTAAGTCTAGTTGCCACGTGCACACTAAAGCTCTTTTTTTCTGCTGTTTTTTTTTGTGATTCTGTAAGCTTGCCTTAGCATGCAGCCTCTGATCATCTTTTGATTAGATACCTTATCTCAGGGGAAATATACATCCAAAGCAGCTTGTTTCCTCAAGCTACTGGTTACGAGGAACACAAATGATACTGTAGTTCAGTAGTCGTGATCCTGGACCCAACATGACATGCCACGTGATTCATTTGCATTGCTTTAAATACACAAATAACACAAGTTCTTTTTTTAACATTTACACTTTTTTTGCACAGCGAAATACAAATTACAAAATACTCATAATTAATTAATTACATATTTTAAATACATTGAAATACTGCCCATCTCTGGTAGCATGAGCACCAAGTAAGTTGGTTTTGGAGCCTGTATACTAATATAAGTATAATATTACATCTTCCTGGTGATCTAAATATCTACTAGAGGTAATATTAATGCTTATTCAAACGACTGCATCTAATAAAAAATAAAAATAAAACTTTTTTGCCATCATCATTTTTCATGACTAATTGGCACAGCCAGATGGAGTCATTTACTTCTCCTCTCTAATGAGTGACAATTGAGTGAGTTGCTTAAATAAGATATATCAGTTCCTTTGTGGGCACTAATACTGTAGCTACTCATTTTTTTCTTAGACCACAATACCACTTCTACTGTCTGGAAGAGGTTTCTCCATTAAGAGGTTTGTAGGAGTAACTCTATTAGAGAATGTTGATGAACCAAAAAATCTGACTTAGCCCAGTTCTGACTGTCCAGCCTGCACTGATGAAATAACGACCCTCGTTACTTCGCAGATGGAGGGAGGAGATGGTGACGAAGTGAAAAGGGGGGGAAGGGAGCACACAACAGATGAAGGAATGACGGACGTACAGGCTGGGAGATGATTTATTGTTGAAACTCACAGTCTTAATAAGTAACTGAGTCCATCCCAAGGCTGATGTAATGATAGTTCACTGCTTGAAACTCATTATGATGGCAGGAGTCTGCATTTGTCCCTCCATTAAAGCGCTAATCCAGCATCCTACACCTAACATGTTACGACAGCTTGGAATTTTTCCACTGAGTGCCCTTTCTTTCCTCTCACGTCTCCTGTGGATGTGTCTGATTTGCTGTTGTTTTATTATTCACTGTGACTATTTAATGCGGTTAAACCAAAATAATGTTCAAGTTCTATACTGTATTTTTACAAGAACTGAAGTTAGACACAAAAACATCTAGAGAAAGACAGAATGCTAAAGGAGGATGACATACCGTGAAAGAGAGAAGGCATGCATGGGAGAGAAGGGGTGGGGGGAGAACCAGAGAGGAAGAAACGGGCAGAGTTTGATAAGCAAAGAGAAGAACGGAGGCAAAGAGGAATGACTGAACGTGAGAGAGGAATGGGCAGTGCTGTAAGCTCTGCTGTTGTATGCAAGTATTATGACACATCCCTATATACTGCACTGCCTGTCTCCCTGCTTTCTTACTGCAGATTTTCATTAACCTTGCGGCACCGTCTATTTGTTTTTCTAACCTAGTCCATGCCATCTCATCCTCCCACTGCATACAGCTCTGCAAACTAGATAGCAATATATTATACAGTACTGCCCTATCTGAAATTTAAAATCAACTTCCTACACAGCCTGCATGCCAAGATAATTTTGCCAGGAAACTGTAATCCATATGGTGCTAACTTTTCAGAATATGGTTTGTGATACAGTAAGCGTGTGTGTGTGTGTGTGTGTGTGTGTGTGTGTGTGTGTGTGTATCCTACAGTAAATCCAAACCCCACATTTAGCAAAGCTTGAATAATGCTTTGCTGAAGCATGAATAATGCTTTTGTTTATCAAATGCCACATGGTACAGTAATGCTACTGGAACACAGTTTGAAACGTACCCTGACAGAAAAATATAAGCTATCGTAAACACTATAAAAGTACTGCTGCCTCATTGGTACTTTAGCACAAGGATGATCTTTTCCTGCACCATTAATGTTCAGTGATCCATAGCGTGGGGGGCTGTGAACTGGACACGCTACACACTCATACACAGATACTGTTCATGACTATATAGTAGCTATTAGTGGGCTTGTAAAATATTTATAGGTTCGTAACATGCCAAATGCATCTTTATACAGCAAATAATGTATTTTTGCATTTGCCTTTTGCCATTGTTACTGATAAAGCACAGGGCATGTGCTACCCAAAGATTCTAAGTTCAGGTTGTGCTCTGATAGCAACACAATTTGCTTCAACCAGTGTAACAAACAGCATGGATAACAGCGGCGATACCAACAGGGGAGTCAGACAATTAGGGAGGGACAAGGAGTTGAGGTGCAAGGACGGTCAGAACGAGGTGAGAGAGAGAGAGAGAGAGAGAGAGAGAGAGAGAGAGAGAGAGAGATGGTGACATGGTCAACCATTTACATATTATCTAAGCTACATTTCAAATCAAACCTAATGCCAGGGCTCTGGCCGTGTATCTATCTGCTGGAATGGTTCAGTCACGATATGGAGAAGTGTAATCTTTCGATCGGTCAGCATGTAATGAAATTGTTACCAGGACGAGGATAAGACTAGAGCTTGGTTAAATAGTCTTAGAGTCAGGGAGTGCAAGGACTCAATGGAGGGTAATAATGTATCACTCTCTTTTATGTCCGGTGGGGTTTAACCTTGAGGATGTTCACACACAATCCACCAGTCATCTAGAACAACCACACTAACAGAACATTGATTTAGCCTCTAATATACTAGCTTTATCAGATATCTTCTTATACTCTCTGGATAAAATCGTTGACTACATGATGTTATGCACTGAATATATATATACCCACTATGTAGTTAGAAATAAGGCTTTTTTCCTGGAAAAATGGAGGCAATTACTTTTGATTTCTGCTTTTAAATTAATTTCACCCATCAATGAGCTGAAACTGTCATTACCACTTGCGATCCACGGATAAGCCTTCTGACCAGTGGTGATTGACTGCACCTAATAGTTTTGTATGTGCACAATTATATATCTGCATTAACCTTTCAAGGTTGTTGCCATGCTGTTGGGGAAAGCACCCCAGCCAGAGAACGACCATGCAGACCAAAAAAAAATACAGTAAACAACCACTCTCTAACTCTGGCTCATTGCTCTGCAGAGAGCAGAGATGATTTTATATCGATGCCTTTTAGTATTTTTTTTTCTGTTCACTGATATACACAGACAAAATATACGTACCTCCTCCCACTGATGTATGTATCTTATGAGTCGGGACAGTCTCAACAGACGCAGAAGACTGAGGATCTTGGTGAAGCGGACGATTCGCAGGGCACGGGCTGTTTTATATACCTCCGAGTCAAAGCCTTTCTCTACTATTAAAAAGATATAATCCACTGGAATGGAGGAGAGGAAGTCCACTACGAACCAGCTCTTCAGGTAATTCATCTTGATGACCTTGGGGTCGAGGATGATTTCTGAGCTCTCCTCGTTGACGATGCCCGTCCTGAAGTTCATGACCAGATCCACCAGGAAGATGGTGTCCGAGGCCACATTGAAGACCAGCCAGGTGGTGGTAGTCTGCTCTGAGAAGAAGGTTATTCCCACAGGAATGATGATTAGATTCCCCATCATCATGATGAGCATTATCAAGTCCCAGTAGAACCTGCAGAGCGACACACATGAATCAGTAATGCAAGGGAGAAAACATGTCCTAGAAAATTAAAACTGACAGAGTGTATTCACATATGTATAAAAATATTCATTTTTCTAAAGAATGTGAATACACTTCAAGGACTTTGCCTGAGAGTCTACAGTGGCTCTGCAAAGCAGTGCTTTGAGATTCATCCTCAGTCGGAAGTGGTGGATTGACCGACCAACCATCACTCCTAGAGCCATGCAGCTAACGTTGCTAAACAACAATGGTATGGTTGTTATAGTCTGACTTATTTCCTGCTATGGAGGTTCTATTAGCATATATTGTATAACATGTTGCCAATTTGTTTGGCAACTAACAATAATCGGTAGGAAATTCTTCAAGACTGAGCTCACATGCTTTCCTACAAAGTGAAGACATAAGCATAAGGTCCAGCTCTGACGGCAACATATGATTGTGCTGTTACAAAATCTCTTCTTATTCTTTTGCAACTCGCAGCCCAGAGTTAACTATGATTCAAGGACATCGAGAAATGTTCGGCTAGCACTTACTGTATGCTTTCAGGGCCCTGTTAGAATGAGACTCTCTCATCCTTCCTGGCTGTGTTAATGTCCCTGCCCTCTGTGATGAACAGAGCCAGAAGTGATTCATCAGCACCCTGCTCTTTTCGCTAAGCGTCCTGGGCCTCGATAAAGGCCGGGCAACCATGAATGAGAATAGATGCTTTCAGGAATCCTATCTTGTGCTAAAAACTCTCCACTGAAAACTCTACTGACTGCCTGCCTCTGCTCTGCCTTGCTGCCCATTCATTGCTGCTGTTGAAGATGGAAATGGACTGGCTGGCTGGTTGGCAGACTGGCCACCCAGTAATGGATCTGTTTGAATGAATTAAGGCAGGGCCTTGGCTTTATAAATATCCACAGATCATGTGTCTGATAATTGTCTTCACTTCCAACTAAACATCTAGGTAGTTCAAACGCCGACCGCGGGTATTTTTACACCAGCAGGCATTGAACTGCAGGCTTTGGAGTGGGCTCTTCATATGGACAGCCTTGACTTAACACCTTGAGTGGGACATCAAAGCTCAGAACATGATACACTTTATTTATACATTATTTGATGCTATCCATTCCTCTATATACTTTTATAAAGGTAGTAACGTACTTGTGCAACAATGAGCATGAGAGCCAGAATTGCAGGATTTTAGTTCACCTAAGTTAATACCACTCATACCATTTTGAATACACACAGACTGTTGTGCACCTTTCAGTCTATTGATGCCCCTTCAGCCAACAGGCCATGTCATTATTCTTTTTGTTATTTATGTTTAATAAGAGGCTGCAGTGAAGACATTTGCTATGATTCATCTTTTCAGTTGCTTCATAGCAAGATACGCTGAAAAGTACAATTCATATCTAAGGGGAAGAAGCAAAAAGATAGTTGATTCCATGATTCCATATTATATATTTTTAGGGATCTTTTTAATTTGTAGAGAATATACAGTGAATTACTTAAAAAGCTTAATTAGTCTGTGGTGAAAAAGAAGGCTATATTAGAACAAAGAGAAAAATCTGATTCAAAACAATACCTCAAAAAGTCAAAGTTCATGATCTGAAATTAAGTAATTTATAGAACAGTGTACGAAACACTTTAATTCATTTTTATTTTGAAACAGTGTAATAACATTAACTATACAGTATAAAATTCATTGTTAAGTTAATTTGAAACTCGTTTGGAAAAGCTGAGGCAAAAGTTACACAAAAGAACACAGTAAACTCAGAAACAGCCTTATACCACTCAAGAATTCAATGTTTTTGTCACTCATATTAATATGATCAAAAGCCTTGTTTTAAAAATGTGAGCCCACAGAGTGCCCACATCTGCAACATATTTCTCTTTTTCATTTGACTTGTGTAGGTGAAATTCACACTACCCATGACCTCTAAGACACCCACTTATCTAATGAATAAAACATTTGTGCTTCACTTCTTGAATTAGAAAGAAGTTGTTTACAAAGTTAAAGAATTGATTCAATTCCTTAAAAACTGAAGAGCATTTCAGTCGACCCCTTCCTTCTTCAAGAGCCAGTCACAAAGTTTGCCAATGCATTCAACTCCCAATCTGCACCCAGCTCTTGCCACATCATTATGCTCTTGCTTTGGATGCCCCAGCTATGATAATGCACTCAGCCCCAGTTAAACCAGTAGCAGAGAGCAGCTGTAACTGCAGCTCCTACTCCAGCAATAAACTCAGTCACCAGCCCCTTTGGACGTACCTAAAACAGGAGATGGGGGCTTTAGAACCCAAAAACAGAAAAGAAAAAAACATAAAGCATTGATGATTATACTGTAGCGACCACCCCTGTGGTCAATCAAAGAACCAGCTCAAGCTGTGGCAGAGAAATCGTTATCAAAACAATCTTGCTCCAAATCAAGCCAGCTCCCTTCAACTTGTAGCTTTCCTCCCAACAACAAGTGCTCCATCATAATCAATGCCAGACCTCTCCTGCCAAGCAGCAGAGGGAACCCCACACAGTCTTACTCAGCACAGCCCGACCCTATCCTGATTTATACAGCGAGGAAAAATATGTACTTCAGATCAAATAAAGCGAGGTAAAAGTTATCTATGAATTATGAGGTTAATAAAACACAACCTGTGGTTACAGATTGTCAACCAGACATCATTCTCTGTAGAGCCATCTGTTGGAGGGCAATATATTTATTTGAAACTGTTAAAATGTTCTTTATCTTCCTTAAATCCTTAAATCTTTAAATAAAAGCCGTTCTCATAGGGATAGTAGGGTAGTATTGTTAAATGTGGGTTTCTAATCACACAAACATTGAAGAATGACTATTTTATAATATGGAACATCTGAATTCTCAAATTGAGGAATGTCAAGTGTAAAAACATGTCATTTTAAATGACACGGAGAAGCTTTCAGAAAAGAAATTGCCCATACTTTTCTGCACAGTACATTCTAAATAGCATGAATAGCATAAATGGCTAGAAAAAAAAAATTGATGAGCAAGAACAGCAGTGTGGCATTTTAGTTTAGAGACTTTGTAGTGGCTAAAACACAGCCTTCTTAGCATAAACAGAGGTGTATGAGCCCATGCATGACGCCCCTCTAAAATGTATGAATAATGAATATTACTAACCTGCCATTAATCTTTAAGCAGCCACTGTGTACAAAGAATATGTTGGATATTGAGTTTCAAACACTCCCACAAAGCAATATAGAGCCTGTGAGAATAGTGGTGTCATTCATGCACCGTACTTACGTAAGACATTTTTTATTAAAAGACCATACAATGTTTTTTTGTTTTGTCTTTTTGATCATACGAGGTTCTGCCACAGTATACAAAAGAGGAAATTCTGAAAATAAATCACACATCATTCTGCCAGTTTTTGGTGTGTTGTCAATTAGTTTGGTGGCATTTGATCCAAAACTGAGCAAACAAGAGAATGTTGTGCATACTGTACAAGTTATGGCAAGATACTGAATATCACGGCAGACTCACGGTTTGACAGATCTAAAAACCCTTTGATACACTTGATATCGGCCATCTAGAGAATGGCTGTGTTGATTTTATTAGTGTTTGAAGAAAGACTTGTGGAGATAGAGATGTTAATTGAATTAACCTATTCTGAAAAATACAGAGTGACTGACTTCTGAATTGACCATAGGTTGCAGTGAGGCAAACATTTGTCACATATCAGTGGATGTGCTGAAAAAGTTTCAGCTCTCTAGGACATACGGGTTATTTTCTTAGATTTATTTAAATTTAGTGCCCCCTAAGAATATCCCAGGACTGCTCAGCGAAGCTCGGACCGAGCACCAGAACAGTCGCGTCAAGTTTGGTTACAATAACTTAAGCCAATTTCGATTTACGAGCATTTATGTAAAATTGTACGTAAAGACACAACTGTAAACATTTATGGAAAAAAAGATTGATGTATCAAAAATCTTTTTTAATTCAGTGACGTCCGTAGATGATCCTGCCAAAGTTTCAGTTTGATTGGCGAAACCGTTTGTGACGAGTTCGCAAAAGTAGGTTTTAGAGAAAAGTGATAAAAAGTCATAGTTTGATATTTTTAGAGCAGAAGAACATTGAAGCAAAGATGCAGATGAATCCAGAGATTAATGTGATGAAAGAAGTTCGACGAAGCCATTTTCGAGATAATTGCAAAAACGTAAAGTTGATTGTTATAGTGCCACCATGAGGTCTATGAGTGCCATTCAGAAGTCAGTCACTCTGTATTTTTCAGAATAGGCTAATTCAATTAACATCTCTATCTCCACAAGTCTTTCTTCAAACACTAATAAAATCAACACAGACATTCTGGGAGGAATTTGCAACCCAACTGCCAATTTAGCAGTGTTTGCTGCCCAAACACTTAGCGGAGAAAAAGAAGAAAGAAGAAGAATGAGAACAAAACCAATAGGGCTCCAGCAGCTTCGCTGCCTGGATCCCTAATGAAGTTGTTAAGTTAAACCCCACAGTAGAGAAACAGATTACCTTTTAAGCTATACATTACAAGGAGACCTTCGAAGCAAAGTGTACCCTTGCACCTCCATCATTTATGCACCAGCATGACGGGTAGCTTGAAGCACTGGGATATAACATCACCGTACTGTACCACTTTCAAGCCAGGAGGCAATCTCCCTGGTATAGAAGGGTTGTGTCTTTAAACTGGCTAGAGGACAAGGACTTCCTATGAAAAACTGCCCTTTGGAAAATGTCATGAGGAAGGAACCTTAGGGGGCCTGAGTTAGTGAAACATTTTCTAATACGGCAGGAAGGAAAGGGCCAATCTCCTTTAAGAATCCCTGTTGATGGCCCAATTTGTCTTTTATTTCAAATATTTTAAAATATGCTGTGAAACATATCTGCCACAATGTAATTTACCATCATTTCCCATTATTTAGCTTTTCCCTGCACTTTTTTCCCTAAATTCCCCACCCCCACCATCCCCTTACCCTTACAAGAATTTTCAGCACATAGCATATTACAAATACAGACCCTACAATTAGACAGCTAATTAACTGCTAAATTAATAACTGTGAGAAATAAACATTGTGCAGGTCCTACCCTTTGGCCATTTTGTGTGTATGTGTGTTTTTTTGGGGGGGGGGGGGTTCAATCTCCTTACATAATTGTTTTCAGAGACTGCTAAGCTCATTGACTGTTGTGTTGTGTTACTAATCCTTGCCCACCATCATTGTACATCTGTGAGTGTGCACTTGAGCACATGCATATGCCTGTGGGAGTGAGTACAGGCCATCCTAGTTAGCATTATTCCTATGAGAATCATTGTTGCCCTGAAATAATTGCATGTGAATAAAAAGCTAAAGCCACATAGTGATGCAGGCCAGTGGAAGTGCAATTCTAACTTTCAGTGCACCAGTTCTTAGTCTGAAATCAGGCTGATAGCAACAGAGTGCTGCAGACTCAGGCCTGCTCTGAGTTCAGGACCATGGCCAGCTCTAACGTGCCCTGGCATGTTACACGTGGCTTCAACGGAAAACGGGGGATGATTGTCACCATCAAGCTGTGCCCGGGGACACTGGTGCACAGACTGGGCCAGATGAGATGCTTAATTGGTTAAGTGGTGAACTGTAAACACGCAGCTTGTGGTGAACCAGTGCTGTATTGCTGTACCTGATCTAATTTGTTTAACATTTGAAACGCATTGTGCTAGAAATGTTAAACAGATTACAGCCAATTAGAAGCAGTTTGTCTGAACTCTTAACTGAGCAGGGCTCATCTGCTACATCATAAATGTGTGATAATATGGGGGAGCCGGTGTAGTTTTTAACGTACAGCCTCGCTCTTCAGGACAGTGGGACAATGCACCACGGGCCAGGTGAGAGACTGACAAGCTGAAAGAAAGAACAAACACAAATAGCCCACTTATGTCACTGTGGCATTTAGTGGACACCATGAAGGAAGTGTGCCGTGGTGCTTTCAAACAAACACATTCCACGACATTACCTCAGCAGGGCAGCTTCAAAAACAGATCACCCATTCATTAGTGCTGCCAAATGTTTGCCTATCTGTGATTAGATTCTAATATCGATTGATTAATTAAAAACACGGATACTTTCCCCTTAATCGTTTCCTGCACGTTATTTTTTCCGCATTCTGTGCATTTTTGTGTGTGTGTGTTTGTGTGTGTGTGTGCGCACACAAGGCCCGTCTGTCGTCTCACCGCCGCCCACAATTAAGTGTGTAGAACCGTGATGGTGCAATGGTATTGTCACGTTGTGTCCAGGTAGCCTACTGTCGTCCCTACACGGGAATATGTCGCAATGAGGTCCCTGACTCTGCTGCTGCTATGGAACAATCCATCCAAGGTGCGTGCGCGTGTGTGTTTTCAAATCATGACATTCACCCTCCTTTTTCCAAGGACATTTCACTGGTACACCTTTTGTACCCTTAATGCGTCCCTCTCTATTATAATAAAAATGCCGCAATGAAACCCACACACACACACACACACATACACTCTTTCGCCAGGCACATTTTGTCTGAAGCCCTTAGCGGCGGAAGCCTGATTGCCTAAATACAGAGGTAGATTAGCTTATGCGCTTCGGGGCAGGCTGTGCGTGTGCCTATGACAGAGCGTTATGTGTGAAAGTGTAGGCTATAGCTTGCACACACCCTAAGGTGACGGAAGGGGTGGATAAAAGGGGAGGGGGGAGATGGGTGAGCAGGTGTCTTTTCCAGCCCTTACCTAAAATCGCTATATGGATGAATGATCCAGTATCCGGCCGTTTGAACCCTCTCTTGCTCTTTCTCCACGGCTTTCTGACTGCCGAACATACGCAAGGAGAACTTATTGACTCCGGGCTGCATCATGGCCCCAAACTGCCTCTGCATAAAACCATGTTGCCTGGACGCCGCCTCCAGATCGTCAAAACCGACCATGGCCTCTTCCCGCTCCCCCTTGAAACCCACTGAGTTGCCGTGGTCCTTCATGTTCTGGCTCCCCGTGTTATTTTTCTGTATCGAGTCTTGCCTCTGAAATACATTATTCCCATCCGCCTTGTCCTCCTTGCTGCTGGAGAACGAATTCGATTTGTCTTCCATGGTGTTTTTAGTTTCTTTGTGGCAAAGCGTTCCGTCTCCTGCTCGGAGGGCTGCGCGCTAAACTCGAGAGGACCCGCCGTGAGCTCTCCTGGTTGTTGTTATTTTATGTCCTTCAAACTGTTCAGCTCCTCTACCTTCAGTGTGAGTGCTGCAAACTGAGACAGGGTGCCGAGAGCCCGGTGGATCAGGTTTCTTGGGTTACCGCCATCTACCGACGGCCCCGGCTTCTGCCGTCCAAAGCCTCTGCCTCGTCTCACTTCGCACGGCACTGCGGTTTAACTGGCACATGCCCCTGCACCTTATTTACATAATATGGCTCACGATAGCCCCCTGCGTCCCCCCTCTCCTCCTCTGCCACCAGTTTCACACACGGCAGGAGGAAGCATACACCATAGAATGCAATTCATTCCTATACCACGTTAATGAAGGATAAGGAGCGTGTGTGCCTCCTGAGGAGTCATAATAGAAGACAACACGGTGAAACAGATTGCAATGTCGGTGTGAACATAGTTTGAGCCACCGGTCATATGAGGAAACTAGTTGAACATCTTGTGGATATCACACCCTTTTAAGGTGTTGCAGATATGGTCCAACATTTAGAGGGTGAATATACTGACTGTAGGCTGCTACTGTCTATAGTTGCAGGCTGGAAGCACTTATTTGCCCAGCCCACATTGCAAGCAACCTGGGCTTTAATTGCAAGCCGATAATTTTCTTCAAATAAAGTGGAAGGGATAACAAACTACTCCTCTAATCGCCTACATCTTCTAAGATATTTTTAGGAGTTGGAACCATGAATTGATCAACCGACTAATTGTTTCAGCTACCATTGTATAAAGTTTTGTTGCCAAAGCATCATATTTTAAAAGCTCTTCAAACCACCCTCTGAACTGTTGTGGAGTAGTAGTCTATAAAGTGTCATGAAAAAAAAATACTCACATAAAGTGCCTCAAATGTGTACTTGAACACAATACTTGAGTAAATGTATTTACATTCCACCACTGAAAAAAAAAGATTGGATTTATTAAACAGTGAAGCAGTTTTGAGGAAACAGCAGAGGAGTGAAGTAATGGGGAAGGAATATTTTTAACAGAGAATGGAGAGAGCAGAAGGAGTATTATAGAGCAACACATGGTGTACAGTAGAGATGAGACAATTAGTCAACTAATTAATTTGTCAATCAGTAGAAAATTAATCAGCAACTATTTAAGTCATTTCTTGAGGATCATGGCAAGCACTCCCGTTAGCTTTTTTTCATTGTAAATTTTTTATCTTTGCGTTTTGGACTGTTTGATGACATCGGATGGAGGTGGTGATAATGGTCATTTTGCATTAGACAAAATGATTAATCGATTAATGAACAAAATAATTGTCAGACTAACTGACAGTGCGTCAAGAGAACGCACACAGAGCTGTTCAGTCTAAAGGAATACCCCAGCTAAGGCTTGCCCCATGATGGCATCATTGCAGCATGACACGCAAACCCATCTGCAATGGACGCACAGTACAGACATCACTGCTAAGATGCGCCGTGTTTTGTGTAGGGGATGGAGCTGGAGTCATGCCTTCTGCAGGGAAAATCCAGTGTTGCCACCTCCATGTAAGGCATGTTCTGTATAAATGTAGGATTATTTTATAAAATAGGATACGTGTGGTTTTCAATAAAGTATAGGCTATGTATAAGAGCAACTCTAAGTAAGTGGCTGGTTACCAATACAGATATATACGCTTAATACAGAATAGAAGCACACCTGATTATTGTTTGGTAGTTATTGTTTGTTTACTTTCCATGTCAGAACCCCAATTGGATACTTTGGTATACCATGAGCATTACCCCTTCATGCCACCATAGATGACGTATTTGTGAATTTGTGGGGTTTAGCAACCTGGAGAGTTTACATTCTTGAATTAAAATAAAGTAAATGGTGGGTATTTTCATAATTTTATTTTTGAATAAAAACTTTTATATTGAACCATTTAAAACCAGCTTTAATTTAAATTTGTGTAAAAATGATCATAAAAACGCTCCCAAGAGCCATAGTTGAGTCAGAGAGCGTCATTCATAAGACTATGACTCTCTCCACAATGTGGCATTATATACCCATGCTGAACCCACACACTTTTTTTTTATGGCTACACAAAACCGCAGGTGGCTGTGTACATCACTAGAGAGGACATTAGCTCAGATATTTTGCACGTTTGGTTGCGGATTATTATGTAATGATCCAAATGTTATCATAATTGAAACAGACATGCCATGATTTTTTTGTGCGTTTTCTCTCTCAGCAGGGTTTGTGTTGGGTTGGATTAGTTGGCGTGCCAACTGTTTCCCCTACACAACGCTTGTGTAACTTCAGTCACACAGTTAATGGGGCAGGGAGGGGTAATGACAGAGAAAAAAATGTTGCATAAGATTTATGGCTTAAAGTAATACTGATATTGAACAAAGTGCAAATCCCAGATGGCTCATTCACTTGTCGGGAATAAATACAACAAGAACACATTTAATGGGTGGAGAACGTGTGTCACAGAAGTAAAGGATTCATGTAGGGTAAACCTTGATTTAGTTTGCCAAATCTCACCGCTGATTCCAAATGTCGTGCATCTGAATCTGCAGAATAACTCCTCTAATAAAATAAGAGTGAGTTACTGGAGGTAAAATGTCAAAAATGAGGTAGGTGAAAAACTGTACTGATTGATGTAAAGATCATTTTCATTAAATTACAAATTAAATTTACATTAGACAGTTGAAAATAATGTATGTTGTATCCAATTTGAGCGTATACCAGTGGGATTTAATCCTGCCTTATATTATAATACAGAATATCCAGAAAATGGAGGACCAAATTTCCTGCTTTCCCCAGGATAAAATGTGTTCCTCATTCTAATGATGGTCTCATTGGCCCTGCTGAAATTGCATTGTGTCGCTAAGATTACATTTAGTCATCTCTGCTTACAGTCGATACGTCATCTAGACATGAAACATTACAAACCCCGCACTGCCAGCCATTGCTTATTCCACAAATAGCATCAGCCAACTATAGAATGGTAGCATTGTGTTACAATGCCCCTCTCGGCCACTTTTAATTTTCTGCAAGTCACTCAATGTAAAGCCAGTTCATACTTCAGAGAGGCTTTGTTTCAGGAAGGAATGCTTACAATGTAATGGGAGGAAAAAGATTTATGTGATTTTTACCAAGTCAGAAGTCTTACCATATCCATTGCAGAGTAAATTTTGGAAGTAAATCACCTAGAGTTTCACTGAAACATCAGAGAGACCAAGCTCAATAACTGACACAAATTAAAAATACAAATCTTCCACCTCCTGGGCCAGACATGACTACTAATTCACTCGTCCTCTTTGGACTCTTGACCCACGACCGACTACTTTAATTAAACCGTGATTGGGGCTGGGAAGATGGTAGTGTTGTAATAGGATTGCAAGCTTTGGTCTGTCTCCAGCTGAGACTATCAGGGTATCATGCACCTCAGGGATGAGGCCGTGGCATTGGACAGGGACCAGCTGAGGCCAAGGTTGACTTAATCGGCAAAGCAACTGGTACAAACAAATGAGAGCATTACAAAGCTCGGTCAAGATGATTATAAAATGATGGGGTACAGGTGTGTAAACATCAAAGTTAGCAACCCAATTAATGGAATGTACAAAAACACACCATCCCATTGTTGTTCTTCCTCACCAGTGAGCAATTAAACCCATCTATGAACTTGTGTTAGTCTCCCCATTACAATATAAAACACTACGCAAAATTTTATCAAAAAATTGAAAGTAAGAATTAAATATTTGGCATCCCATGTTCTTAACTTGGTGTCAGTTGTAACACAATGGTGGGGTCGGACTCGGACAAATAAGTCAACTAAGTTACATGTCAGTTGGGTTAATGTGACAGTTGGCATTTCCATATCATAATTAGATCCACACAGCTGAGCTCTTGTTTAACCTCCACAGATTAAACAGCTGCAAGGCTACAGCTGCACTTAACCTTTAAGCTCATTGCCATAAATTAATGGTCAGCTACTGCTTATCAACATTAAATAAGAAAGACCTTTTATGAGGCCTGGCCATAGTCCTGTATGTGTCTGAAGTTGCACAGTATAGGGGGAACATCTCCAAGGACGGTTGATGCCTAACCCACACATTCAAGCCGATCAATATCACACAATTTCTGAATTGAAATGAAATGCTGTTGTTGGACTGTTACTTCAGTTGTAGAATTGGTCGTGTAAGGGTTAATAATACTATATCCACACTTCTGGGTTTGATTACCTTAAGTGACATACTTTGTGTGCGCTTAAGTAATATTATAATGATATTGACATCAGATGAAATATTGAGAGCTGTTTGCTGTAGTCGGAAACTGGTTGCTTGAAATTACGGTGACTGTGATATGACATGAGCGCAGCATAAGCGCTGTTGAATTGGCACTGGTTGTGATGAATTGATGTCAGGTAGTGCACGGTAGTTACTTGTCTCCCAGTTCCACACTACAATCAAATTCTAAGCAGGTTTAGAGTAAGCAGCGTATTAAAAAAAGTAAGTATACTGAAAAAAGTCAGTATGAATATGGACACGATTGTTGATTAATTAAGTAATAATATTTTTGGTAAAAATTCGATTGTTAAGTAGCCATTTTATTTTCTACTTGTGGAGCTTGATTGCCTGTGGCACTCCAATGTCACAGGTTAATTGATGTCTTGTGCAATATCACCTTCTATTTTTATCACATTGATTTCTTGTCCCAAAACAGATTATTTAGAGAATGTGTAACATACTGCAAACTATTATATGGAATAGTATTATAAGGAATTGAGACACAGCAAAGGTTAGTGCCTAATACAATAGTGGGCTCCCTGCCTGGGTTGGATGCAACCCAGCTTTTCCAGACAACAGAGTGACCCAACACCTGATCCTGATTAGCTTGGAGGACAACTTGTATTTGTTGGCTATTATAAGTAAATCATTTTATAGGTCCATTAGCTCA